AACAAGTCTCAAAGCAGAATAAGGTACCACGGCCTATTAAGACTGATTGTCTATGTTGAGGAGAAGGAAACTCATTGGGGCTTATGTTCATCACTTCAAATTTTACTTTATAAAATTACCCTTTTAGGCCAGGCGGTGGTGGCGCACGCCTTTAATCCCAGCACTTGGGAGGCAGAGCCAGGCGGATCTCTGTGAGTTCGAGGCCAGCCTGGGCTACCAAGTGAGCTCCAGGAAAGGCGCAAAGCTACGCAGAGAAACCCTGTCTCAAAAAACCAAAAAAAAAAAAAAATTACCCTTTTAATTTTCTCAAGTCAATCACGGTCTTTCCAAATCTGCTAATCAATCTAATGCCTACACTTTCATGTGTAGGACAGGAAGAATGCTGGAAGCCTTTGGTGATGACTTAAATAGTTCAGTTTTACTGAGTAGGCAATGGTTGGCCACCCAAGATTTTGAGCAGAAGATTGCTGTACATATAGTATTAAGGAAAGTTAGTAAGATTATAACATGGTGGGGGAATCGGGAAAGTGAATATAGAAAGCAAGAGAGGAGCTAGTTTTTGAGAGTTGAAGTGCAAAGTTGTCATCAGAGCCTTAAAATGGAAGATATGGTGCATTCTCTGCCTTGTTCATGGCTGCACTTTTAGTGTACATAATAGAATCTACAACTACAAAGTTCTGAGGAAAGAACTGTTCCTAAATGAGTTAATGAACTTAGAAAATTAACCTGCATGTAGAACAAAAGCACAGAGTTAAGCTCTACACTAGTATTTCAAGCCTCTTTTGCATTGTCATATTTAGAGAATTGGGGTGCAGGGAGCTAAGAACATTGTTTTATTCATATTGAATTTGAAAGAATGTAAAGGAAAGGAAAAAGTAAATCTTAAAAAGAGATGGGAAAGTATAGCCAGAAATGTCTCTGTTCGTGCCTAGCCCTGCAGTCTGGATGAATCTCCCACCTGCAGTGGCACAGCCACTTATATAAAATCACACAGAGGCTTATATAAATTACAACCTGTGTGGTCATGGCCTATGGCTCAAGCTTCTTGCTAACTAGCTCTTATAACTAAACACAGCCCATTTCTATTAACCTGTATGTTGCCACATGTTCCATGGCTCTACTTACCTGTGTGCCATTACATCTGTTCCCTGGATGGTGTGATGGTGTCTCCTCCGCCTCTGCCTTTCTTCTTTCTTTCTCTCTCTCTTGGATTCCCCACCTGGCTATAACCTGACTCATCATAGGCCACAGCAGCTTCTTTATTAACCAGTCACAGTAACACATATTCACAGCATACAGAAAGACCATCTTACAGCAAGAAAGAATAACAAAGTTTCAGCATGAAGCTAAACTAAAGAAAAAATCATTTGGTGTTTTTCTGACAATAAGCTGACAAAATCTTATTAAAGAATAATTAAGCAGAGCATATGATGATCCCAGTTTTAAGATACAGCCAGACCCAGAACTGTGATGTATGAGGACAGTTGCTGCTAACTGTGAACAGCATGAACATGATTTACAGGTCTTAGAAAAATAAATTAAAAGGTATGCTGCATGAATATTTCTCTGGAATGTATACTTTTGGATCCTAAACTTATGAAAACTTACAGATAGTGACATTTTCTATAGTGTGCATATTTCTTGCTTTTATACTACAAGAGTCTTATGTTTTAGTAGCGTGCAAATTCACTGAACAAAGTAGATATGATTAGCTTTCACCTCTGAAGAAGATACTACCATGTTAGCAAGAACCTTGTAGCTGACGTTTGTGACTCACTTATGTTATAGTATGCACTTACTTAGAGAAGCAACAGAAATACCAAGTTTCAGTAAGAATCCTTATTCACTTGTCAGTCTTAAAGACCATTGGGACTTTTATCCAAATTTCTTAACTGGGAACCTATATTTCCATACCAGTAAATTAATAACAGAGAAGGAAAGGAAGTTCTAAATATTGGTTAATATATGCAACATCACTGTTTAATCATTATTTTGTGGTACTACAACATGAATGCATTATATGAAGACCTTGTCTTGTTTTTTATCTTTTCATTTCTTAAGGCTGCTCAATAAATATTTGTTGAAGAGATGATTGATAGGATAAATGAATATTAATATTTTATGTAAGCTAAGGCTATTGCAGGGCATGCACAGATGACCTTGTGTACCTCTTAAAAGCAAATGTTGAATTAACATAGGAGCTTATTTTACTTTACAGGGAACTAACAGAACCACTTCTATAGGGTGTAACAGCCATACAGACTTTAACACTCCAGTTATTCTTTGTATTACAAAACAATAGAGAGCTTCAATGAGACATTTACCAGTAAAGAAAAGCTAAGTATTGATTGTATATACTCTCCACATAGACTGGTCATGAGTCATAAAGGTGAAATTAGAAGGTCCAAGATGAGAAGTTGTTGGAAAGTCAGTAGAACACCAATTGCAGAACAAATAAATACATTGAAATCCATATCTCATTATTATTGCTGTGTGGTTTTTATTGTAGGAAGGATATTAATTTAATTTAGTTTAGTACGACAAAGCAGTTCTGTCCTATTATTTGGTCCCATAGGGACCACCTCTCATAATTTGGCCTTGCAGAGCCTCTGCTTTATAACCCAGGCAAAAGTTTATCTATCTTGCCCCTTGAAGCCCTTATAGAAAACACTATCCAGTTCTCCTTTCCACACTCTTCCTACTGTTTGTCTTTACAGTCTGTCTTACTTAGGGTTTTTATTGCTGTGAAGAGACACCATGACCATGACAACTTTTATAAAGGAAACATTTATTTGGGTGGTGTAGTAGAATATTTTAAGTTGTGTTACTTTTGTTTATATTGCATTTGTGTAACTCTGTGAAGCTGTATCACTGTGCCTATGATGGTCTAATAAAGAAGTTGCCAATAGCAAGGCAGGAGGAAGGATAGGTGGGGCTGGAAGGCAGACAGAATATATACAGGGAGAAATCTGGGAGAAGCGAACAGCCAGAGAAGGAGGAGGACTCCAGGGGCCAGCCACCTAGCTACACAGCAAGCCATGGAGTAAGAGTAAGATTTACAGAAGTAAGAGAATGGGAAAAGCCCAGAGGCAAAAGGTAGAGGGGATAAGTTAAGAAAAGCTGACAAGAAACTAAGCCAAGCTAAGGCCTGGCATTCATAATTAAGAGTAAACTTCTGTGTGTGACTTACTTGGGTGCTGGGTGGTTCCCCAAAAAGAAAAAAAACAACCAACAACAGGATCGACCACTTACAGTTTCAGAGGTTCTATCCATATCATCATGACAGGGAGCATGGCAGAGTGCAGGCAGACATGGTGGTGGAGAAATAGCTGAGAGTCCTACATCTTACAGACAACAGGAAGTCAACTGAGACACTGGGCAGTATCCTGAGCATAGGAAACCTCAAAGCCCACCCCCTTAGTTACGTATTTCCTCCAACAAGGCCACACCTCCTAATAGTGCCACTCCCTATGAGATTATGGGGGCCAGTTATATTCAAACTACCAACCACACAGTGTCATTCACATCACTTATGACTCTCAGTATGAGGAGTAGAATGCTCCTAGATCCACACTGAAGCCATGTAGTCAGAATAGTAGCACAACTACAGAATTCTCAAATAATCTTGTAACTACCAAGGAAAACTGAAGCCTTAGGAAGCAACCACATCATTGGCAGTAAGAAAAAGGAATCCCTCCTCTGAGCTGAAAAGATTTGAACTTGTGGCACCTATGAGTGTGAAAAGCTATTGCATTCTGAATCATGGAGCCATGGACTTGTGATGATAAAACTTACACAGAGAATCTGAAAGATCAGTATCAATGACAGCTTGTGCAAGTGACGTCAACACTGATGCCCATGGTGTAATCAGCCAAAGAGTTTTCATTCTCAGTATGGAAATCATCACATAATTGCTTATAGTTAAAACAAATAATACAGAGGTTTTTGTTTGTTTGTTGTTTTGAAGTTTTTTGTTTTGTTTGTTTTCAGTTGCTTGCTTTTTTAATTGCAGATTTTATTAGATAACTTTGTAAACTGAACCTTATTAAGACTTAGAACCTTTTAAAGACTTTCTACAACTTTGAAAGTTAACTGGTTTTTAGTATCCTATAATATTCCTTAAAATAACAGCCTCTGCTGTGGGATGGTCTGTGTGTCAAATTGCTCTGATTTGGTCAATAAATAAAACACTGATTGGCCAGTGGCCAGGCAGGAAGTATAGGCGGGGGAAAAACAGAGAGGAGAATTGAGAGAACGGGAAGACGGAAGAAGGCACTCCCAGCTGCCGCCAGGACAAGCAGCATGAGAAGACACTGGTAAGCTATGAGCCGCATGACAAGGTATAGATTTATGGAAATGGATTAATTTAAGCTATTATAAGAACAGTTAGCAAGAAGCCTGCCACGGCCATACAGTTTGTAAGCAATATAAGTTTCTGTGTTTACTTGGTTGGTCTAAGCGGCTGTGGGACTGGCGGGTGACAGAGATTTGTCCTGACTGTGGGCAAGGCAGGAAAACTCTAGCAACAAGCCTCTAGCATAATGTATGCGATTTCTTTTTGTTTATAGACCTAAAAAAAAGACTTTAAGTTCCTTTGTCTGATAAATTGTCTAATAACATTTTTGCCCCTTCCAAGTCAAAGGGTAGGAGGTGTATAGTTAGGCCTTGTCTGTTCTCATAGTAACTTAGCTGCCTTTGAATCTAAAGCAAGCATCAATGCTAAAATTTATCTTATCTTTAAGTTTTATTCATTTTAAATAAAAATTCTGATTCCCTGTAACTTTTTAACAAGAGTTTGAGATTATTGTGGTGCTTTATGGAAACATTTTTCAAATGACCTCTTTAGACACATGTCTTAGGCAAAGGTAATTTTGTGTAGTCTACAATATATTTTAGAATCAGTATCCTGCATCAGTTTTCAGGAGAGGATAGCCTGCTAAGTGAGTATTTTGAAGGTATCATTTTAATGTTTCTTTTTCTTGGTTTTTCCTGATTCTCAGCTTTCTAAGAAGTATGGTGTCCATGTATGTGGGGAAGGTGGCGAATATGAAACATTCACTTTGGATTGCCCTCTATTTAAGAAGAAAATCGTTGTGTAAGATACCATTTCAGTGTCTTTCTTTTTCTTAAATTTAAGTGACAGAAGCAACTCAGCATTTAGCTTGAGGCAGCTTTGGTTGGAAGAAATAGAACATGTCCCTTAAGTTCACAAACACTCAATTTGTTTAATCCCAAGGAAGTCGTGTGAATACTTAAATCAATACCTGACAAGACGAGGCCTTCATAGAAGGTTGTAAACTTTTTAGACATTGCACTTTCGTTTACTTGCGATTACGGCCTGCAGTAAAACTGGTGCCTACACACTGACACTTTTATCCTTTCCTGAAGTGTGAATTGCCTGTATTATTTATCTTTCACTATAGCTATGTTTGATAAACTGCCACATCAGTAGCCTATGGGTTCCATTAACTCTATCCTCTTTTTCCTCTTTCTTGGCTTTAACAAGTTAGAATGATGAGACTAGACATTTCTCTTCAGTTATTGGGGGCAGGGGTGTATTTTTACATATAAACTTCGTTTTGAAGCAGATTAAGTTTATGGTGAGTAGTGGTACCTCTGCCATGAATTGTAAAAATTAGTATAATGGAAAAAATGGGAACTTCGTCTAGTTCATCACTTTATTAGCTGTGTTCTGCATTATGCCAACACTTCCTGTCTCCTGGAAGAGCGTTTCTTCTGTTGTTTTGTTTTTGTTTTTGTTTTCTTTTGTTTTGTTTCTCCTAAGCTCATGCTTCTTGAAAAAGTTTGTCAAAATGATACTTAATTGAATGAACAGCTTTGATCCTTTTCAACATTAAGCTGGGCAGTGGTGGCACATGCCTTTAATCTCAGAACAGGAGGCAGAAGCAGGCGGATCTCTGTGAGTTTGAGGCCAGACTGGGTGAGTTCCAGGACACCCACAGCTACACAGAGAAACTCTATCTCTGAAAAACAAACAAACAAACAAACAAAAAAGACTTGAATTCTTTGAACAATTGATAATGGGTAAGAAAATAATCTGAGACTTTAAAACTAAATCTGTTTCATCCCCAAATCCAGTATTTGTTAGTCTTGCTTTCATATTCTCTTAACTTCTTTTGCATTAATAATTAACATGTCACTAATTTGTTGAGTGCCTGTTCTTTCCATCAAATTCTGCTGGTCACTATTCATGCCCGTTGCTTTGTCCTTTATAAGCTTGAAGTGAAAGCATATCTGGGCATTAACTATGATAGAAGATAGGAAAGTTATTACCCAGAAGTTTGTAGATGGGAGATTTTTTTATGGCTATGCTGATCACAAAAGGATTTTGTATACAGGAAATGTATTTCCATGAAACAGTGCTGCTTATTATTAAAGAAAAAATTACATATTTGGGTAAACTTAGAGTGTAATTGAAAAACTAGGGATATATTTACTTATTAACACAAGATTAAGCACAAAAGGGAAGAACAACAAGCAAAAAATGCAAAGTAATAATACTCTACCTGCCCATCCAACAGATGGATGCCTGAGCACCCAGAGGTCTTCATAAAACCTCATTGTAGGAAGTACCACTTTTCAGTTTGTTACAAAAGGATCTCAGCATCCTGGTGCTTCAACAGTGAAACAGTTCAACAGCTTCATTTTGTAGCTCTAGAAACTCAAGCCTGATGCAGATGATGACACAGAGGATCTTAGTCCTGCCATTGAGGAAAGGTATCAGAGAAGGTCTATTCAACTGGACCCTTCTTCCTGACAAGTGTCCCTCCTGTTTCTCAGTGTATCTGTCTGTGTGTCTCTGTCTGTGTGTCTGTCTGTGTTTGTCTTCGTGTTCATCTCAGTCTGTCTGTCTGTCTATTTCTGTCTGTCTCTCTCACTTGTACACTCTCCCTCTCACCCACTCACTTGTGCGCTCTCTCTCTCTCTCTCTCTCTCTCTCTCTCTCTGTGTGTGTGTGTGTGTGTGTCTGTGTCTGTGTCTGTGTCTGTGTGTCTGTGTATAAATTTGTATGTTTGCGAGATAGAGAGATGTAGAGAGGGTATACAAGCATGTACAGCATGTGTGGAGACATCAGAATAACCCTTCTTCCTGTGAACTTTGTCCTTCTCTGCTGTCTCTCTGTCACATTTTATCTGAAGCACCTTTGTGTTGATGGAATCTATAAAAGCTAGTTATGCCTTTTCATCATCAAAAATCTGATTCTTTAAAGGGTCAGTTTGTATAAGTTGCTTGTCTTCCAATATTGTCTTTTTAATGTTATTTTATGCAAATATGCAAGATTCATATTTGATAATAAAGATTCATGAATATATATTGAGTTTTTAATCATCATATATACGATTTTAATATTTTTTACATCTTGCAAGTGAAACAAACTTTTTTTTGTGAAAATTTAGTATTCTGGACTCAAGTATTTTGTGGTTCTTTCTATTGACACTACATAACTTTTTAATTAGAAATACCTTATTCAAATATGTTTTAAACTAGTTGCAAAGAGTTGAAGAGTCTGGAGAGATGGCTCAGTTCAGCTGTTAAGAGCATGTACTGCTCTTACAGAGGACCCAAGTTCAGTCCCCACGGCTAACATCTGGCAGCTTACAGCTGCCTGTAACTGCAGACCTCCACAGGCATTGCAATCACATGCAAAAGATTTCACAAATTTTAAAATCAAGTAAAAGCACAAACATAATTTGAATTTTAAAAAAAGTTAGAGTCAAAATAACTGGGCTAGAGAGATGGTTTAGCAGTTAAGAGCATTTGCTGCTCTATCAGAGGACCCAGGTTTGATTTCTAAAACCTGCATGGTAATTCAGAACCATCTTTGACTCCAGTTATAGGGGATCCAACGCCTTTTTTGTAGGCTCTCTGGGTACCAGGCATGTACATGGTATATATATGCAGACTAAACACTCATACACACAAAATGAAAATAAATGAATCTTTTTTTTAAAAAAAGAGTTAAAGATGAGCTGGTACTAATATTAATATACCCAATAAAGGTAATTCATGAGAAATTAAAAGAGACACGAGGAATTTCATTTTTACATTTTTAGTTGAAATGCAAAGCATTGTTGATGTCTTAATAAACAACAAAAATCACTAGTAGTTATATATCACAGAAAATCTTGATTATTTATAAGTTCTTTATAGGGTATATTTATTAAAACTTGAGTAAATCTACATGTTACCCATATGGTGGCAGCAAGCAGTTCATACCATGTTACCTGCACGTGGTGATTACCCTGTCAAACAACCAGTGTTGAGAGTAGTGATCTTACAGTCTGAAGAATTCAGCCAGAACCTCCCACCACAGCAGCTTGCTTTTGTGAGGGATGACTTAGCTGTGTAGGAAGCACTGCGTCTTAAAAATAAAGGTGCTCTGAAGACCAAGCAATGGCGTTTAATGTTTAATAAAGCTCACACCAAGCATATTTGTGATGTGCTGTTGAACAGCCAAGGTCTCCAATCATTCAGGGATTTGCAGAAACTTGGAGTGTGAACTGTGGGTCCCTTTACATAGGAAAAATGTCAGTGTCTCTTAGTTTGGGAGGATTTCAGGTCTCTTCTCACAGCAGCAGGGTAATTAGCCACAAGGTATGGGTTTGGTAAGTACACTAAATTCTCTGTGTTGCAGGGACTCCTCTGAAGTAGTCATCCACTCTGCTGATGCATTTGCACCTGTGGCTTATCTGCGACTTTCAGAGTTGCACCTGGAAGAAAAGGTAAGTAACTGTCAGAGGTCTAAGTTGTGTTGTGTGATCCTCTAACAGTAGGCAATGGAGCAGAGAAATAGATTTATTCAGTCAACAACTAATATTTTACAAATACTTAAGAGTTTTGAGGATGTTGCGTAGCACAAAAGGCTTTACATTCTGAAGAGATTGAAGGTTAATTGAGAAAAGAATGATAGATACTAAGAAGACAAGGACAGTACCTAGTATGATAATCGGGTTGTAGTGCATAAGCATTTCAGGAAAGACTCGATGGTTAGTTAGATTTTCAATATACAAGGGTTTCAAGGGGGATAAAAGGAAAGAAAAGTTTTCTGGAAGCTATAAATGAAAGAAATGACAAAAAGATGGAAAATTAAACAAAAATGCAGTACAGTAAAGCAAAGAGTTTTATTTTAAGTACATTGGTGATCAAGATGGAGCACATGCCTGCTCAGTCTGCCTTTGGAAGTAGGTGAAGATCTGTATTAGATGTTTGTATGAAAGACCTAGAGAGGTTGGTTACCCTCTGTTTTCAGTGAAGTTATGTAAGGAAAAAGAGAGTCAGGATAGAAAATACAAATAATAGGAAAAGGTCTATGTCTTGTCTTCTTGCCCACTTTCTGAGGCACACTCATAGTTGTCTGTGTGTGACAGGGAGTCATAGTGATGTTTTCTGATTAGGGCAGCATCTCTAAAAGTAGAATGAAAACAGTGGTCCCCAAATCTCAGGATGAGTCAGTAAGAAAAAAGTACTTACTAGGGCTAGCAAGATGATTCAGCAATTGAAAGGGAAAGATTTACTGTGAAAGCCTCATTATCAGACACACACACACACACACACACACACACACACACACACACACACACACACACACAAGTAATAATTATGTATGTCAGTCTCCCAAAAGAATTAATGATGAACAAGACTGGATACCTATAGATCACTGGACTTGGCTGAAAGTAAACATTGGTGACCTGTTATCAAAAATCGGTAACATCAAAGGGTGGCATTATGTAAGGGTCTGAGAAAATGCAGACTCAAATAGTATACAAGAACAAAGAGAGTTTTTTTACCAGCATGCAGGATTGAACACTGGTACAAAATGTCCACAACCCTGAGAGGACATACAGGTCATCTCAAACATAATTTGTCAAGCAAGTAGCAGTTACAATAGTATATTTTTAATTGGCTGAGGTTCAGTTTTACCATTTTTGGACATACTTGAGCAAATTTGGGCAAGTCCAGAAATGACTCAGGAGGTGGGGATTTACAGGATTTGCCCCTGACAGATTGTAGGGCTGACTCAGGCCTTGTGCTCTCTCCCTCATCCCTGAATGTAAGAGTGTTGTTGATTAATGGCTCTTTGTTGATAGAGAAACCTGTTTCGACCCCTCCAAGAATGGAACCCTAAATTCCATTGTAAAAGTGGGAAAGTTTAAACCCTTCAATTTTTCCGTCCAAATACCTTCCAGATTCAATAAAAGAGCCCCATACTTTAGCCCTTTTCTACTTTTGCTCCCATGAGCACAGCTAAGATTCTAAAACACTGAACTCCTTCCTGAGCATTCCTTCCTTCTCAGCTTAGCTTCACCTTGTAGCTCACTAGGGTTCTCTTGGTGTTTCATTGTCTTCGCGGGCCATTAGCCCACTCTAGACAACCATTGTTTCTTTGAGATTTGATATTACTGATGTTAATAAATATGTCACATTTTCCTTCTCTTGTTTCCTTGTAGGTGTCTGCAGTACCTGGGAATGATGAAACAATTAATTATATACACAATTCTTGAAATTTATGCTGCCTTTTAAAAATTATGACCAACTTTCCTCATTAAGTTTTTGTACTTCTTCAAAAAATGTAATGGGACCATTGATTAACTGGAAGAATTTCAGTGAACTCTTCTCTAATATTGCCAATTTTCTCAACTTTCTTTCCTTTTAAAAAAATAATTTCTTTTATTTTTTGAGGTTATAATGTAATTACATCATCTCCCCCTCTTCCTCTAAACCCTACACTATATCCCTCCTTGCTCACTTTGAAATTTATGGCTTTTTTTTAATTACTTTTTTTACATACCTCACTCTTTCTATGTCTCTCTGTTTCTTTCTATGTTTCTATGTCTCTGCCTCTCTCTCTGTCTCACTCTACACACACCAAACACTTTCCTCAATACATAAATACAACCTGCTCAATCTGTATAACATTGCCTGTGTGTATATTTTCAGGACTGACCATTTGGTATTGGATACCAATTGGTGTTCTCTTCCCTGGGGAAGACAGTTTCTTCTGCTCTCCACATGCCTTGGTTGCCTGGAGTTCTTTGTGCAGGGTTGAGGCCTGCGAGCTCTCTGGTCCACTTCAGCATGTCTGTTGGTGTCCTCATTGTTGAGCTCATGTTTAGGCAGCCATGTTAGTAAAACTTCATGGGTGCAGCTTCTGAGATTCTAGCAGAAGGAAACTCCTTGATCCTCTGGCTCTTACAGTCTTTCTGCCTCTTCTTGACTTTCTTTTTTGGTAACAAGTCTCATGACCTTTTTGTTACCCGTCTGTATCACCCAGCTCTCTCTTTCTGACATATCTTTTTACAGTTGTTTCCTCCCTGTCTTTCATACCCCATCTCATGGAGAAGAGACATCAGAAAGGAAGACTCTATCTAGACAATCAAGCTTACTATAATCAAGTGTCACCACATGATGTATATTTTTTTTAATTTTTAATATAATCATTATTCAAACTTTCAACATTAATGGATAATGAGAAAGAATATCATAAATGGCTGGTTATTTTATTATTAATTTTTTTGTGTGGTGCTGAATGTGATTTGATGAACTGTGGGTGCCTGGATCAAGAAGTTTCAGAGAAGAAGAATATTAATATTTGGCATAACAATCACTCTTGTGATATTTTGGTGAAGAATGTGGCTGCTTTTTGCCCTTGTCTAAAAGGTTTGCCCAAGGCTAAAGTGAAGAGTTTTGAATTAATTCCCTTGGCAGAGGAAATCTCAAAACAGCCTAGTATAGACTCTGCTGTGTGGTTACTAGTGTTAACTGTAATGAAGATATATAATGAAAAGGAGCAAGCTGAGCAAGGGAAAATATTTGGGGAGAAAATGAACACCAACTAAGACCTGTGTTCAAGGAGATGAATAGATTAAGAAAGAGAATAAAGGGAGTGGAGACCTCAGGGCAAGATCACACTTAAGTTTCCAGCTTGTGAAAAGGAATAAAAGAAAAGCTTAGATCCCGGTGTAGTGGTACACAGCTTTAATCCCAGTGCTCAGAAGGCAGAGGCTGGCAGATCTCTGAATCTGAAGCCAGCCTAGCCTACAGAGCAAGTTATGATTGATTCCTTTTTAAAAAAAAAAATTAAATATTACTTTTGTATACCTTATGCATTTTTTTAAAAAAACAGACTTTTTCTGGAATAATTGTATATTCACTGCAAAACTGAATAGAAAAGCAGAGTACCCATGTATATTTTCTGTCCCATAGGAACACAGCCTGCCTCATATCAACATCCTACACAAGACAGGTATTTTTGTTGTAGGTGATAAACCTTCTTGATAGATCCTTATCATCAAAGGTCCATAGTCAACTAGGAGAGGTGGCTCCCTCCTGTAATTCCAGAACTTGAGAGGTTGAGGCAGGAGGAATGGTGTGAGTCTGAGGCCTGGGTTACCTTGTCTCAAAAACAAAGAAAAATATCATAGTTGACATAAAGGCTCACAATTTTATATTCCATGGCATTTAGCAAATATCCAATGATGTATATCCATAATTATGGTCCTATAACACAATAGTTTTGCTGTCATAAAAATCCTGTATGCTCCACCTATTCATCCTTCATCTGATTTAGATCCTGACAACTACTGATCTTTATGCTCTCTAGTTTCACATTTTCCAAATAGCATGTGGTAGCAACCCTTCACTTATATTTAATATGCATTTGGATTCATTCATGTCTTCTTGGGGCTGTTCTACTTTTTGGTGACTATAAATAAAGCTGCTATCAACATTCATGTACAAGTTTTGTGTAAATGCAAGTGTTCAGTTCATTTGTATAACTATCAAAAAGCATAATGACTTGATTGTGAATGTTCTATGCTTATTTCCATCGGCATGGTAAATATTCTGACAAAAAGCAACATACTGGGGAAGGATTATTTGGCTTACAATTCCAGGACATATAATCTGGAACTCTGTCAGCTAGTCCCATACATCCCCAGTAAAGAGCAAAGAGCTCCTTTACATTGTACTTCCGTATATCTCTTACAGCATCCCATACTCCCTTTTACAGCTGTGTCTTCCCCAGCCTCTTGTGAGTTACCCCTTGCTCTTTGACTCCTCATATGAATTTCGCTGCCATGTTGCTTTCCCCTGTAGCAGTGGTTCTCTACCTTCCTACTGCCGTGGCCCTTTAATACAGTTTCTCATGTTGTGGTGACCCCCCCCCCAACAACATGAAGTTATTTTTATTGCTACTTCCTAACTAACTTTGCTGCTGTTATGAATCATAACATAAATATCTGTGTTTTTCAAAGGTCTTAGGTGACCCCTCTGAAAGGGTCCTTCAACCCCAAAGGAGTCGCAACCCACAGGTTGAAAACCACTGCTTTCTGCTGTTTGCTTCCCACAGTTGTACTTGTTTTCTACATTAAGGAGATCATCATCTATGAACTGGAAGCCATGTGTCATAATGTTGTAAGGTCTTTCATCAGTCTTGGTCTCAGGGCTCCCTGTGAGCATCCTTGCTTAGTCAGACAGAACCATCTGATACTCCCTTGTTTTGCCATAATCTTCCTTGACCTTTCTTCATCTGCCTTAAACACTTTATATAAGAATGATAAGCGATGCTGGTTACCAGCGCTGGTTACTGTGTGGAAAGGTCACAGCCATGACAGAAACCAGTATCAGGATCAGAGCTTTATTAGGAGGAAGAGAACCAGGCCTGGGGAAGGAGCATGTGCAGAGAGA